ACGGACAATCAGGTCGACGTTGAGAATGAATAGTAAATGGATTCATATCTGATGTCAAATTGGATACTTCAAGTCCGCAATCCTTACAACAGGCTGCATTGCCATTACCAGTATATTGAAACCCACAGGCAGACATATGAGCCACAGTGTGAACGCCAAATTTCGTTATTGATTGAATTATTGATCTGATTCCACTAAGTACAGCATGGGAATATTGAAAATTGTCCTTCTTCGTATTGCGCAGCTTTGATGGCATTTCTAATATGTTGTCTTTATGTGACATACTAGTGTGATGAGCAGTTTCAAATTTTTTGGCTGAATAATTCATTTTAGATGTATGACGAAATCTAGAAAAAATAAGATTTATAATTCAATAACGGTTTATTTGAATAATTGCATAAGATGTTTATTATTCAATCGATCCCATCATCAGGGATGGCCGACAGTTCTTTTAGAAGTTATGAAAATACTTCCATACAAATAATGATTCGTCCACTCGCATTCATTATATACCACCAACTGGGTAGTTGATGGTCAAATGCAATGACAACGAACAATTACTATTATGATCGTCGCCATTATTCTTTACAGTCGCAAAAGTGATTCATTTCTAACTAAACTATTCAAAGAGATTTCAGATCCCAACACTTCGAAGTCTACTAAAGACAAAAATGACACCAAATCTATTTCTTTACTCTAGGAAGACATTTTATACTATTATATTTTCTCGAATAGTCACTAAAAATAAATCTAAAACTGCATTAGAAAGCTGGAATAGAACACATAGATCTATATGTTTCTCTACATACCTTTGTCGCCATAAAAAATGTCAGCTTTATTTTTGAAAAAGACTGAACAGCATCGCATTTATAAAAGTACAACAAATGAGGTTGGAAATTTCCAAGCGCAGGTGTGAAAGAAAGAAAAAGAGAATCATCCGTTCTCTCGAGTCCTCCAAGAACGCAACCAATAACAACCATACACGACCAACGAGGGTCTCATTATTAAAGAACGCAATACAACCTTACAAGTTAATTTCAATTTTGCTTATTGAAACTAATAAATGATCTGGCAGAATTTTAAACAAGGAATTATAGCTTAAATTGACGGGAACAAAAACTAAGTTGCGCTTAACAAACGAAAGTTCACCACCATCCATGTCATTCACGATTCTCATATGTATCGTGGCATGACTTCTTTCCAAAAAATAATAAGCTAGTTTTTCGTTATGGATTAATGGTATTTTGTACAAACACTAAAATATTATATAATTTTCTTCTAGAACATTAGTTTAAAATAATTCGACAGGTATCTCGATATTTGAAAATGCTGAATGACTCATGTGAAGCTATTAATTTGCCTCCTATTACAGATCAATAATCAATGTAGGTCATGACAATATCTTTAGCGAATATTTTAAAATAAGTACCACTGGAGTCATTTTTTCGATGTATAACGTTCTAAGTTTTTCTGCTTAATTGTTATCATTCACGGAAATTTTAATCACGAATTATCAAATTAATCAATGGAATTCTTTCTACACGTCTCGATTGAATACTTTTTTCTGCATAATCCACCATGATTCATGTTTTCCGTTATATTTTACCACGATA